ATGAAAGCAAGGGGTATTTATTGATTTCATCTCCTGCTCTTGATCAAGGGGGGTTGATCAAGGGCAGGGAAATCTCGAAGGCCTGGGATTGGCCGACAAATCGGTAATCAAAGACGTCTTGGCGCCAAGACAGACGTCTTGGCGCCAAGAAAGTTTAATTTTTTCTTGGGGAGGGGAAAACCGTTGACGGATTTTGTCCGTTTTTTATGCGCGGGTGGTTTTCCACCGGATTAGATATTTTTAATTGATTTTTATTCGGGGTGCGCCGCGAGTCCCCAACATACATTGAACGTGAACAATTCCTGTTTTTTTCAGGCAGAACAAACCAGACACAGTATCCTGTGATCTCCTAGATGTCATTCAGGAAGAAGCAGAAAATTGGATGGTACAACGATTACAGGGTGCAACGTTGAAAGTGAACCGAAAATCGAAAAAGAGAAGACATCAAAGTGAAGAATCAACTGAAATCGAAGAAATCAGTATTTCAAATTACATTTTGAAAGAAATGAGGTTAATTGAAGTGTATGATAGTCAAACCTGTTCTGAAACGAAAAGGGACAGTTTGTTAATTACATCATAGAAATATGAATGAACACCTACAAATTAAGTCACATCCAGATCATCCAAGGAATGAAGAAGGCATTCTGCTACCATGGTTATAAACTATGAAAGACGAAGCAAGGAGGGGACAATTGGATAAGGCCATTGCAGAAACGGATTGGAAAAAGTGAAGTAACTTGGCATACATACAAGTTGAGGAAAGTGACACATATGGGCATGTTTACATTCCAAGGACCAAAAACTGCATTACAAATCTTAGAAATGCTAAAGTGAGTACAGAAAGTATAAATAATTTGAATAATGTGTTGATTAATTCAGGGAATGATGATGCATTGCAGAATTATCCAAAAAATGGATGGAAAAAAGAATGGGACCCTCACAGGTCAGAGTACACCAGTTTCACCATGAGAGAAACTGGTGTTTGTTATCGTGAAATTGGAGAAGAAGAAATAATCCCTGTCTTCATCAGAATAAAAATTCTTGATGGTGGTCCTGCATTTGATGGTGATGATCCCGCTGATGACGAAGAATTGATAAACAAGTGGAATGCGAATCCTAAGTGTAGGAACAACACATTTGGCACTATGTGTAAGTGATTCACTCTTACCAATTACAATGGCCTAAAATGAAGGGTAACATTAATGATTTAAGGTTGTGTACCAATAAATTGGGTAAGCTCGAATGGAAAATACATATTGTGGCCAAAGGAAGATGCTACAAGTGAAGACGGCGTACGACTTGAAACATTGAAAATGGATTCAGAGAAGTTCCTCTCCTCTTTCTGCATTCCTGATCCCTCTCAGATGTGGGAATACCAAATTGGAAACATTTGGTGCGAGGGTAGAATAGGTTAGTACTCTATCCTTATCTTCATTCTTTCCCATATAAACTCTTCATGTTCAAATGATATTGATGATGTTGACATGAATAATTACATTGCAATTGTAAATCTTATGACTATACAATGATGTGGTTATTAAACATGAAATGATGATAATCCTCAGACATTTGAACATGCATATGTGTATTCCAGCGTTCCACCCAGACCCATTGGTGAAGAATTCCCACACACAATACAGTCAGGGCATACTTTCGCCAGGTATAGCTCCTGGTCTTGGTGGCAGACCAAACCGTCATATTCAGCAACCAAAAAGAGTTGCTGAGTGTAAGAACTCATCAGGACAGGAGACAAGTGGTGACAGTGATTTTTCTGAATCACAAGACAAACCTTGGAATCCTGCAGTACAAGTTGGAGTAAGACGTAGAACTAGCAGTCCTTATTATCCAGGTAAGTCATTATGAATACAACCTAATTAGGGGAGTTTACGTGGAGGTAATACATTTTAACGCTTCTTAATAAATTCATGAGTAATGATAAGTAAAAAATGCGTTGATGTGGAATACATGAAAATATAAAAATACAAACGTGTGCAAACATTGGGGCAAACAATGCCAACATTCATTGGCGCATCATTACACGTAATTATACATCGGGATAATTGTACTTTTCATGCCGACATTCATAGGCATAGCAGGCATTACCGATGTTTGTACATTGGGCAAAAGCATAACAATTACACTCAACGTTTAAAACTAGTGAATCCAAATTTGAATTTTAACGAATATTTTGAATAAAAGTTGATTGAAAGTAGAATTTAATTAAAACTTGAAGAACGTCTAGACGCCGTGTTTAAAGTTCAAACGTCACTACAGGCTAACGTTCTTAGACATGGAGTCACCAAATTGTGTGGTATAGTTCCCTATGTCGTCGGTGTTGTAGAAGGGGATTGGAATGGACCGCTGCAATTCATCCTGTAAGTTTAATGCTTACTCAGAATAACATTTTGCCACAACAGCATCCCACCATACCATCAACTATGCACACTGCTAATTATACACCAGACAATGTGACAGGGGACAATGTTGGGAACCAAAATTTTGCGCATACAACAAGTACAGCTGGAGTTACAGGTCCCAGCATTACGGAAAAAGGTAAGTCAAAATTTCATTATTTCAAAGCATTTAAAAGCATACCTCCTTTTGAAGTTGCAGGAAATGAGCAAGCCTTAAACGAAACAATGCAAGTGCAGGGAAGACTTGTACAACACAATTTCAAATCACCTGAACCAGCTGATGCAAAAAACAGGCCGTTGATATGTCACACACCTTCCTTTCAAGCCAAATTTGGGCATGAGGGTCATGTTCTTGGCTGGGAATACAACACAATTCAAAACGAATCATCAACATACATCATCCCGAGTGTCAGTAATCATTGTGAGTGTGCCTGGTGGTAACACAATGATCTGAATGTAATTTAATTTTGTAAATATTATTAATAATTGTAGCACTTGCATCAAATGCAACGGAAAGCAGTAGTGGTGACCAGCAGTACTCTATGAATGAATCATACAAGTCCCCAGCTAATGCAGCAGCTGTAAGGTTGTTGGCTTCATTGGAAGCCACAAACTCCATTGGATTAGTTGAAAATGCCCGTCAGTCATCAAATATTGAAGGTTTGATTGAATTTTTGCTAACATGTTCTAAAAGCACTCATAAATTGCAAGTATATGGAATTTTTAAAATTATTACAGGCATTGAGGAAAGATTGTTGAGTGCATTTTGCTCAATGAACCAACAAATGTTAGAGGAAATGAGAAGTCAAGCAGCTGAACAACGCACAGCAGTACTGGAGATACAGCAAAGTGCAGCAAAGCAAGAGATGGTGAACAAGGAAATTTTGGATAAGCTCGAAAGAGTCAAAACTTTTCTAGAGTAACTTGGAATACCTCTTGAAACTTTACTACAAGGAGGTCCTTCAACTCAAACAGACTCAAACAGTAAGTCCTAAATCATTTGTGCAATGATATGCTTATTAATAATTTCATTAAATTCTTGACAGAGGGATACAAATTTGAGTCAAGGTTGGTAATTCCAGTCAAGAAGAGGAGCGAGTTGGTGGAAGTAGATGCATTCCTGTTGGACAAAACTATTTGGAAGGACTTAGTTAGTAATTCTTTCCTTAATAGTCAGAAAAAAATGTTGGAAGTTGATTTCATCTGTATGCTGATGTTGGACTGTGATTTGTGAAGAACGCCGTTGTTGGGCGGTGAACATAAATACTACATTGGCATGCCAACACTTCAACATTGCACACAAATAAGAAATTAAAGTACGTCATACATTTATAATCATTTTACTTCTTTTCCTGCAGATTCTTTGGATTGAACAAAACTGGAAGCCACCTAATGGGAAAAAGGCAATCAGTTGCTTCATGCTGCGCTTCTTCCAGCACCGGATGATGGTACAGATTTACTGTGTCAATTCAAAGACACAGCACTGCAAAGGCAGAGGTGATTTCATGATTCATCATTTACTGATTATATTTCCACAATATTATTGATTATTAACATGCATATTTTGATTTCGGGATTGCATATATAGAAAGGCAAAAGGACATCATCAAAACAGTCCAAGAGAGAGATTCACATTTAAAATTATTACAGGCATTGAGGAAAGATTGTTGAGTGCATTTTGCTCAATGAACCAACAAATGTTAGAGGAAATGAGAAGTCAAGCAGCTGAACAACGCACAGCAGTACTGGAGATACAGCAAAGCAAGAGATGGTGAACAAGGAAATTTTGGATAAGCTCGAAAGAGTCAAAACTTTTCTAGAGGAACTTGGAATACCTCTTGAAACTTTACTACAAGGAGGTCCTTCAACTCAAAACAGACTCAAACAGTAAGTCCTAAATCATTTGTGCAATGATTTGCTTATTAATAATTTCATTAAATTCTTGACAGAGGGATACAAATTTGAGTCAAGGTTGGTAATTCCAGTCAAGAAGAGGAGTGAGTTGGTGGAAGTAGATGCATTCCTGTTGGACAAAACTATTCGGAAGGACTTAGTTAGTAATTCTTTCCTTAATAGTCAGAAAAAAATGTTGGAAGTTGATTTCATCTGTATGCTGATGTTGGACTGTGATTTGTGAAGAACGCCGTTGTTGGGCAGTGAACATAAATACTACATTGGCATGCCAACACTTCAACATTGCCTACAAATAAGAAATTAAAGTACGTCATACATTTATAATCATTTTACTTCTTTTCCTGCAGATTCTTTGGATTGAACAAAACTGGAAGCCACCTAATAGGAAAAAGGCAATCAGTTGCTTCATGCTGCGCTTCTTCCAGCACCTGATGATGGCACAGATTTACTGTGTCAATTCAAAGACACAGCACTGCAAAGGCAGAGGTGATTTCATGATTCATCATTTACTGATTATATTTCCACAATATTATTGATTATTAACATGCATATTTTGATTTCGGGATTGCATATATAGAAAGGCAAAAGGACATCATCAAAACAGTCCAAGAGAGAGATTCACAACCATTTACTCAGGAACAGGACAATCCACTCATACTGGATCATGACATGTATCCCGTGAACTTACAGCATTGCCTGAACCAACCTGAACTGAGGATTGTAAGAAAAGCTCAAAAATGTGATAAATTTGATCAACGTTTTTCACTTCTACTTTACTAGCCATTAAATAAGCTGCCAGGATTTTACGCACTTATTGAAAACTTTGCTGCTCTTCACTTGAAGGATGACAACATGCCAAAATTGAGGTAATTCGCGTAAATGGAAAATCAAAAATGAATATTTTAATGCATTGATAATACTTGTACATTTTTATTGCAGGACATTCATCAACAAGGTTTTACGCAAACTACGCAATGCTGAAAGGAATACTTGGAAGGAAGCACTTGGCTTGAAGGAAAGAAGTATTGATGGCGCTGATTCAACACAACTTACTAATAATTTTGCCGCTAATTATGAAAGTGCAAAAAGTTTGAAAGAATTGAAGAATGTGTTCATTGGTAACAGTAAGGAGCAAAGTGAATTAAAGAGTGACCTTGAAGAAGTATATGCAAAGATAGGAGACAATAAGGATAGGCATTGCAGCTAATTGTATGAAGGTATTTGAAGTATTTATTTCTGTATTTTTTTCTTCCAAAGCGGAATTGATACGGGTGGTTTTGGAAAACAAAAACTGAGCAATAATGTGAATTGACTTCCTTTTCATTTAATTCAAAAGAAAATAAAAAGGACGGCGTAATTCCTGGCCACTACAAAATACCAACATTGCGAATAAAGAGCACTGCCAAACCACCACTGCCTGACAAAAGATTATAATCGGTATAATTAAGAAAACATCCGAATATGTATATGTGTAATGAAAGCAACCATTTGTGTCCTTTACAGCTTATATTCCTACTGTACTGTAGTGTTCCAAACACACATTGGTTACATTGTTGGGGTCTTGTAAATGCATACCGACGCATGTTGGTTAAGGTCACGTTATAACCTACACTTCAAACCACCATTCGCCAGCAAACTATTATGATGGCTATAATTAAAATAATAACATGTGAACATGTTTGTGTATGAATCGTACAAGCTTTTGTGCCATAATCACAATTAAACAGGTTTTTTGGTGTTCCATGCTAACGTTGGCGACATCATTGGGGTCTGGTAAATGCATACCAACGCATGTTGGTAAAAAAGAACCATGTGCACATGTTTGCTTAAAAAACCAACAATGGCACTTGTGACCTATTCAAGCAAAAACACGTTTTTTTGGGTTCCCAGCAAAGGTCGGCAACATCATTGAGGTCTGGTGAATGCATACCGATGCATGTTGGTAAAAATCCATGGTAAACCAACATTCAAAAACAACAAAGACCTATAACAATTGGCTTTGATTGGCTTTGACAGAATAACATTTCAACATGTTCACGTCAATTAAAACAACTATCTCTTTATTCGCAACGCAAGTACATGTTTTTTTTAACATTTCACTAAGAGATTGGCGTCTGCTAAAAGCATACCGACGTACGTTGGTTAAGATAACCAACATTTCACCACACCATATAGGCAGATACCCAATACAAATCGGCATAAAAAAAATTACACTTATATATGTTAAGTTAAACTTCTCCGTGCATTATTCAATGATAAAAGCACAGTTGCAAGTTATAAAGACAATACGAATATATTTGTGTGTTGTGACATACAAAAAGTAAGAATTAACTGTAATTTTTAACCGATATTCAAAATGTTCAAATACACGTTAATGGTTTTGAATTGGGGTGTTTTTAATATGAATTACAACGCCTTCCTATCTATTTCCAAACATTTACTTACATGATCAAGTAATTGTTTTGTGTTATGTACGTTGCTCAATTTTTTATAATGACACATTTTGTAAATTAATGAAAAGCCAACATAAATGTACAGCGGCATATAACACTGATTCGGAAAAAATACCCCAATATAAGGTCAAAATTCATTTAAACTGGCTAGCTGATGGGTAGACGCTACAATGCCTTCTGTGGTTAGGTACTCTGCTAGTCAAAAGCAACACCTAAACAACAGGTAGAGGGAGGGGATGATGTGGCACGGGATGCGCGGGCGTCAGGTGGATGCTGCAATAGACGGGTACCCCAACACCCAAGGGAGATGGAAAACTACACATTGGGAGTTGGGGCCAACGCATAACGCTGGCGCGCCGGCAGCACGCTGGCAAGTAGCCACGCAACTCCAAAATGTTTTGGTGGGTAGGCAAGTATTAGATGCTGCTGCAAGAAATTGTGGGGTATCATTGAACAGCCTCCTAAGAAAAGGACCCAAAACTCAGTCTATGGTCACAGGAGTACTTCTACAATTTAGATTACATCCAAATGTGGTGAATTCAGATATTAACAAGATGTTTCCCCAGATATTAGTTGAACCATAAGATAGACACAGATTATTGTTTGTATACCATGACCCCCAAAGGGGGGAGCAATGGTACACCAACAATCAACACATTTTTGGGGCAACATGTTCCCCAGTGGTTGCAAATTTCTGTATTAGAAGAGTTGGGGAGCTAGAGAAAGAACATGCTCCAAATCTGGAGAAAATCCTTACAAGATCATTTCATGTTGATGATATGTATGTGGGGTTTAAAAACAAAGAATAAGCAATTACATACACAAAAATCATAAGCAAATTGCTTAGTACGTACAGATTTAATCTGACAAAGTGGAAGTTGAATGACCAAAGCATACTGTCACAAATTCTGAAAAATACTCTGGATATGGCTGATAAACCAATTGGCGATAAATTTGGGTCCAAAGCTTTGGGGTTATTGTGGACCCCAGGAAAAGATCAATTTGGGTTTTCCTGTTGAAAACAAAGACGCAGCTACAGGGTTATTAACCAATGACAAGGCAGAATTAACAGCTGCTGGGTAACTGTCTATATTTGCATCCCTATTTGATCCAAAGGGATTTTTGGGACCATTCACCTTTACTGGAAAGACTGTATTACAAAAGGCTTGGACTATCCAGAGAAATTGGCATCAACCTTTGCCATCTGAAGTACAGCTTGTGTGTCAAAAATGGATCAAAGGGATCCCAACTATTAGCAAAATGAGTTTACCCAGATGGCTGGGGCTTGATCCTTCTAAGTCTGTCCAACTCCTCATTTTTAGTGATGCATCCAAAAAAGGATATGGAGCAGTAGCATACGTTGAGCAAGAATCTAACGTGAGAATTGTTTTTGCTAAGTCCTGGGTGGCGCAAATTAAACCCATTTTCATTCCAAGATTGGAACTTCAAGGGGGCGTCCTCATGCAGAAAGAGATTATGTGAAATGTTATTGCTGGAGATGGATGAGCTTAAGTTTGCAAAAATTATCCTCTGGACAGATAGTATGGTATTAATAGGTTGGCTAAAAAACTTAGCTTCTAAGTATGTCACCTTTGTTGCAAATGGAGTAGGCATGATTCAAGAGTTCTTAGATCAGCCTAGGAATGAGGAAATAATTGCGGAAGTAAGACATATTCCAACCAAACAAAATCCGGCTGATTTAATTAGCCAAGGAACAACCACAGAAGAACTTATAACCTCATGGTTATTTTGGACTCAAGGTCCAGAATTCCTAGGTCAACAAGAATCCAATTGGCCTAAACCACCAAAAGCACAAACAACAACAGTACTCAAATTAAAAATCAAGGAGACAGACATATACACCATTGAAGAACAGGAAGATCTGCATAAAGGCATAGATGACATCTACTGTATTACATTTTGCCTTCCGAGGAACAAAATGATTTTGAAAAATTTTGAGCAAAAGAAATTGAGCTGATAAAAAAGGCTCAGGTATGTCATTTTCCAGCTGAAGTTGAGAGAGTCACTCTTGATTTAAAAACATTGCACAAGTCAGATCCTTTGGCTGGCAGGATTGTTTGGATTGACAAAAACGGAATTCTGCAAAATGAAAGTATACTAACAAATGTAGAAGATCTCACTGAGGATCAAATACATCCTATTATACTACCTAAATGTGATCTATTCAATAGGTTATTAATTTGGGACGCACATCAAAAAACAAATTGTTCTGGGCCCAAGATCACTCTATCTTATCAGAGGGGCAGATTTGTACTCAGTGGGATGGTTAGAGCCATTTGTCACAAACTTTATTACTGCAAATATTGCAGAGAACAAAATCCTAAACCAGTTGTCACCATTAAGGCTCTGTTGCATAACATTAGACTTGCAGAAGAATTACCACCATTCACTCATTGTGGAGTGGACCATTTTGGACCTTTCGAAGGCAAATATTCCCAAAAAAACTTGCCCAGGAAAAAAAGGCTCAGGTATATCATTTTCCAGCTGAAGTTGAGAGAGTCACTCTTGATTTAAAAACATTATTATTAACATTATTATTATTAATTAAGGGATTATTATTTCTGTGTTTGACAACTTGCGCGATAAATTTGGAAGCTTGTCAAGGCCTAGGCACTGATAAGTTCTTATTGGCCATGGGAAGGTTTGTCAGCAGACGCGGAGTTCCAAAAATTATATGGAGTGACTGCAGCACCTCCTTTATCAAAGGCAGAAAGGAATTTGAAGATTTTCAAAGCAAAGTAAAAACTAGGTGTGCTCAGGATTGGAAAGTAGAATTCAAAACTAACCCTCCAGGATCCCCCCATTGGGGTGGATCCTGGAATAAAAATTCAAAGGCAGAAAGGAATTTGAAGATTTTCAAAGCAAAGTAAAAACTAGGTGTGCTCAGGATTGGAAAGTAGAATTCAAAACTGACCCTCCAGGATCCCCCCATTGGGGTGGATCCTGGAATAAAAAGGGTTTGAAATTTTGCATGCAGAATTAGAAATTGGCTACAGATGCTTTTGCTACTTTCCTAGCTACAGTAGAATATACTTTGAATGAAAAGCCCATTAGTATAGATGACGCCGGACGGCTGGAGTAGCTCTGTTGCCATCAATGCTGCTATTGCCTTTAAATTCCTTTAATCCCGAATTGAATTTGCAGGGATCTAGTCTTAGGATGGTGCAGCATGTGGGAGAAATGCACAAGGTATTCTGGAAGAAATGGCAAAGCTTGTTCTTGTTGAACTTAAGCTCCAAAAGAGGAAGAGGGAGATCTTGATTTATCCAACTTGAAGGAGATCAAGTACTTGTAAACAAACGAGGAGCCAATGCATTTATTAACATCTGGGAGCCAGGACAAATTATTAAAGTGTATCCCTCCCGCAATGGGATCATACATAAAGTAGATGTTAAGACATCTCAAGGAGTAGTCCCTAGAGGGACCAACCAAATTTAAGTTACAGAGTCGACCCTTTTGGCAAGAGATTCATGGAAGCCCAGTCAAACTTAGGGTTTCAACTCATCTTTGGATGGAGTGTAAGATCTGGTAGGCCAAAAGCCTTAAATTATAGAGCTCCTGCAGAGAAGAATTTCTTGATCTACTCCCTGTATAGTTAGGAACCTGCAATAAAAAGCTTTAAGAGAGCTTCCGTTTTTTACTGTTTTGGTTGGTTCTGCATTTCAGGAACTGTTGCCTTGTCAATCTACAAGTTTGGGGAAGTAAGAAACGTAAACATCAACACGACACTATAACAGGCTTGTTGTAAGAAGTTCAAAAGCGGATCAGTACGGATGTAAGGTAGAGTGGAAATACTATACTTATTTGATAGCCATCACTCC